TTTCTAAGAGAGGTTAGACATTGATATCTCAAGAGATTAAAGAAAATATCACAAGAATGTCACAAGAAAGATCTTAATAACATATTAAATTAATTTAAAATATAAATATGAATATTATAAAATACTTATTTATAATCTCGTTTTATTATTGTTTTTTAAAATTTTCAAACATCAAGGATTAAATAGTGAGAATGTATATTATTCCATGTGCAAGTATAATGGGAAATTATATGTATGTAAAGATGTATGGAAGATAATAAAACCTTTCTATTTTATGTGAAGTGAATAAATATACGGAAAATCTGAAGAAATAATATTAAAAAGAAATAAAAGAGACACTTTTCTATCTCAAAGATATTATAAACCTTTACATTATGTTTGATCTATATTTGATGCAATATTTATGAAACACATGAAACAGTAGAAATTTTGTTGATATAAAAAAAAATTAAAAATCTATAGAATAATATTTGTGTTATAGAATATGTCTTTACTATTGTTGATGTATTTTCAAAATATAAGTCTATTTTACAATCTACCACAACATATTTAAAAATTAGCTTGGAGTTTATGGCGAATATTGAAAAACTAAAAATACTAAAAAATGGCTGTTAAGTCTTGAAAGTAATTTTGATTCATTGCAAGATCAAACTATGTTACTTTGTGATAATCAAAGCACTATAAATCTGAAAACAAATCAAGAATATTATTTCAAAAACAAAGTACATAAATCTTAGACAATATTATATTTGGAAATTTTATATTGATGGTAAGGTCTATTTTGAGAAGATAGACTTAGTAGTAAATGCAATAAATATTTTAACATTAAAGAGTAAAATTTTCAAAGTTTAAATTTAACAAAAAAAAATTAGATTAAAATATTTTTAATAGAGGTGCATTTGTTTAAGTATATCACAGAATAAATTAGTATTTAGTTTTAATTGTTTAAAAAGATTTAATTTATAATAAAAATTGTTAAAATTATGCTTTTTGTGTTTATATGTTTAATATTTAGAAAATATGGTGGATTAATAAACTTCTCTATAAAGGTTTTAAATAAAGATAAGATATATTTTAAAACCTCTTATAGATTATAAGAAAGTTATATGTAATTCATAATAATCCAAGTAAGTAGTAATATTTAGTAACCTAACATTTATAAGTTATTCAAAGCAAGACCATTGCATTTAAATTCAACATAATGTTGGAATATCCCTTTATAGTAATTTTTTTATCAAATCTAACTTAAGATAATATCATATTAATATAAGTATATAAAAATTTTTATTAAAAAATATTTGTGTTATTATATTTCCCATGTAATTGATATATCTTAGTTTAATTTACTAATAAATTTATAAAAATATAATTGAAATATTTTATTTTATTTTAATAATATCTTAATATTTTTAATTATCTTAATTTCTCTTACTTTTATGTGAAATAATTTTAATTTTAAAAAAATAAAAGATAGATTCAAATTCAAATATAAATAAATAGGTTCAAATTTATAAATTAAATATAAAAAAACATAATTTTTAATAGTTAAAATGCATGTGATTGTAGTAAGAATAGATTTCTTGTCATGTTAATTTTAAATCAGATTGTGTAATATAAATAGGATAGCTTAAGGAATATTAAACAAATAGATTATAAAAGACTAAGGATGCTCCTGCTTGTAACTTTGCTACTAATTGAAGGAAATTTAATATATATATATATATATATATATATTTCCCTTATTTCTTCTTGTGAATAACATGAATCTAGACAAAACTTGAAATTAAAAAAAAAAAAAAAAAAAAAAAAAACAACAACAACAACAACACACACACACACATACACGTCCTTATGTTATTCAAAAAGAGAAATTGAACAGTTAATAAATAAATAAATAATAGATGAAAAATTAAAACTATTGCCAATGACAAAAGAAATTAAGAGTCTTAATCAAGGACTACCATACAGGAAAGATATTGACAAGACTAAGGATAGCCTTACTATTCTTTGTGTATATACTAACTACTAAGGATGACTTATGAAAGCTTCTTCAAGATCTAGGACTTGTGACACAAGCCTCCAATTGTAGGTTGTTTCTAACATGATATTTTCAAAGATAAGAAACTTGTAGGATATTTCTTTTATAGCCACATGACATTTACATATGAGTCTAAAAATCTAATGTGTGTCTAAAATATTTTTTTCAATTTTTCTTAAGAAAGATATTATCTCCATAACTTGTTTTTGTATACTCTGATTTATTTATAATTTTTTATAACATTGTCTTCTTGTATGATCTTTCTAAATTATTCATTAATTACAAATTATCATTACTACGTACAAATTTAATTTGTAATCTTATGATTGAAGTATTTTAATACAAATGCTTGTTGCAAGACCATTGTGAAATTCTAGCCCTACTCAACAAAGGAATGTAGCAATTTTCTAAGTATACATAAGTCTCTTACAAATATGATTGAGCTCTCTGAGTTTATATTAAGATAAATTTAAAAAAATATACATAATTATAATATTATCATTTTAAAAATTAATTTAAAAAAAATCAATGATATCATGGGAGCTCTCACAAAGAAGCAATTTTTGTAGCATGGTATAGATACTATTTGCTAGTCATTTCGAATATCTAATAGATAGTCTTCATGGATTTTTTAGCATTTTTAATATTTCACTTGAAATACATGCAACTTTATACATGTAAGCTTCTATCAGAATAAAATAACTCCTATATTGATTGTTTTTGCCTCTGTGTAATTTTATGTAAGTTTTTAGATAATTGGTTTAATATTCGAAAATTGTATCTGAAGGATCAAAATACAAAAGACGAGGAATGAATTTTTTCCTATACGCCATAAGTAATATTGTCTTCCAAAATTTGTGGTAGATCCTTATTGAAAATTAATCTTTAAAAACATTTGGAATAATCCATCAACAAAGTCATTAAAAAAATCAACAAAATAATACAAAATAATGTTTTTACACATATAATAATTACTGGTATTACAAAATAATTGTATACATATTATATATATATATATATATATATATATATATATATATCTTTTTACTATCTTTAAAAAGAAAGCCTTTTAACTGAAGTTTATCTTCACTAGGCAAGAAGCTTTTCTATTATGGCCTTTTAGAGTGTATTTTTAGGTACAAAAATTACAAAGGGGGTACAGTGTCTAATTCTTTACTTATTTTATAGCAAATATATTTTATTAAAATTTTATAGGGAGTTCTAAAGTTATAGAATATGTAAAAAATGTGTAATTTAAAATTTTACAGAGATTTAAATAAATAAAAATATATCAAAAGTTTGTATAGATTTTCAAATGTAAGATAGTGCTTGTAATTGTAGTTTGTTGTGCCTATATGACCTAAGTTCTTCTCTTACTAATATATATATATATATATATATATATTATGTGACTTTATTATATTTATTCTTAATTTAATTTTTTAAAAATACATTTAATCTTTAAAAATATTCTAAAATCACATATATATATATACATTAATTATTTTATTAATATAATATATTTATGATAGAAATTATGGTTTAAGTATTTATTTTTATTATTTTTGTAATATACCTATCATAGAATATATTATTGAATCATGTTATTTAATTATTTTTAATACTTGTATACAATAACATAAAACAAAATTATTCATGCATTTTAAGTCATGTCTTTATAAAATCTTAGATTAGTCTTAATAAAATATAAATATATACATGTGTTTTATTAATATATATATATATATATATATATATATATATACACACACACACACTATGATTTAAATCTGTGATAAATATATTAAATCTAAAAAATATTAAACACGTATTAAAAGTCTTTAATAATAAAATTATACAAATGAAATATTTAATATGATATTCTATTTTTATAATACTATATAAAATATAAATCATTAATAATATAATACTTTGAATATAAATTTAATAAATCCTAGTTATTGCAATCTATAATTTTTCAAATGATATTTATATAATCTTGTTTTTATTCAACAAGTCCACCCAATAAAGGGCGTTTTATCTCTATGTAAAAAATTGTTCTACATGATTGTCCATCTAGTTTAGAATGATGATAAGTACTTATTGAACTTCAAATGTAAGGTTGGGATAGATCTAAAACACTAGCATGCATTAGAATTAAAGCATTCTTTTATATTGTTTATTAATATCTTTTATTGTAAAAATTGTTTATAATATTACTTATTATGGCACAAGTAAGACAATATTCTACATTAAAAGGGCTTACATATTAATAAAGTAATTAGATAAACATCATAGTTACTAAATTTAGATGTTATATATATATATATATATATATATATAAGTCTTCATTCAAACTTTTAGATAAGTCATTTATGTATTAGAATTTTATATATCATAGAAACAAGAATAAAAAAATGAAAAAACTCTCATATTATATAAATATAAATAAAAAATATAGTAATAAATTAAAATCCAATTTTAATGTTGAAAAGTAATTTTTGTATAAAAAATAGTTTAAATGTTATATACTCTTGTTTAATATATATATATATATATATATATATATATATATAGATAATATTAAATTTAATAGTTCTTCTTTCATATCAAGTGTATCTTTTAAAACTTATAATAAATATATCCTAACAATTCCATTATTCTATTTTTATATTTATAGTATATTAAATGATATTTCTATTTTATAATACCTATTTGTCTTTTTCATAGTATGAGACATGTATTATATGAAACAATTATTCAAATCTTTAAAACGTGACTATTATTTCAATTTACAACACGTTTTAAAGAATATATTAGAACTTACAGGTTAATACACGTCCTTTTCAATTTCAAGTAGAAAATATTGTATCAATTTTATTTGAAAGTCTATATATTCTTGTATTGCCCATGAATATATATATATATATATTCATTTTGTGTTTATTAAAGCTCGCCTACCTTCTTCATTTTCTATTCAAATTTCAATTATTTAAAATTTGCAAGTACGAGGAAGCACGTACAAAACAGTAGTTACAAGAATCAGGAGATATTTCTTTCTTCCTCTTTACAACAATGAACGCTCTTCACGTAATTTTAAATTCCATTGTATAAAATTCTCACCACATTTCACGGTCCATCACCACCACTTCCAGCCATGTCCCTACAGTGCACAAAAACCTATTATCAATAACGAAAGCTACTTTTGAAGAGTTGACCCCTTCTATCCTTAATAAACACGCACAATATTAAAAATATTTACAAATGCTAGTTTCTCCTTTTTGTTTTGATCGTACTCGTCACCACGAGCCTCCACTTGAATGCCATTCTCCCAGATGCAGAGCTGCACCGTTGAAACTTTTATTGCAGCCACAGAGATGTTGCAACCGAAGCACAAATTTGGCTTGCAATCAGCTGTTGGCCAGATTTCGAACAGCGATCCAGCAACAAACTCTGAGTATTCCACTTAGATCTTCGTTAAATACTCATGTTGTCGGCGCAAAATCAGTTCACCTCATTCATCTCATGCATTCAACTTCAACCTCGCACAAACCCCACCAGGCAACACATGCAGAATATGTGACAGTGACAGCAGGCAAGAGCTTCCGTTTTTTTTTTTCTTCTGAATTAGGGCTTCGTTATTCGATGTCGGAGGGACGTTACCACGACAGAGGTCGCCGTTAGAAATCGAGATCGTAAACTCGAGTTTCGTCAAAGAAAAGTAGTGAACAACAAGCAAATTGAGGAATGAACGTGACAGATTGTGAAGAGCATAGAAAGAATCGTGAAATCCAGCAAGCGTCCAGTTCAAGAGGAGTTGACAAGAGCTCACGGAATTCTGGTTAAGCAAAAATAGCCATACCGATAATTAGCGATAACAATAATTCGAAATTGATTTAATCTGCTGGACGTGTTGGCAATGCTATAGCGACAATCAATCATTCCACGACGGGATCCGGAACAACAAATTGGCGCAGCCCCAGAATTGCTGACGAGCTCTCGCTCGAAGGTGTGGCCATGCCGAAGCTTAATGCCAACTGGGTGCGTGCGACCACGATTCTGGCCATCGGGAACCATTGGGAACTACAAGAGAACGGCTCCACAGGAAGGGAACCGTGCCAACGCCCACGTGGGGAATATGGACCTATAAGGCCCCCACGTGGCTGGTTCCTGTTGGGCACGGCTACCACCACTACTGGAGCCTCTTCGGAGTAAATTCCCTCACCGGGTAGGACAGTACTAATTATTAACTAATTTCATTATTGTTAACTATTAGTATTTATTCATTGAATTTGTATTTTAGTCTATAATATTCTTTCCTTTTGATTTTTGATATTCTCTTAATTTTAGTATTTAATTTACGTTATTGACGATCCAATGGTGTAAAGTTTGAAGATGCTTAGGGCTGAAATTCCTTATTAAAATGGGTGAGTCTGCAGAACCCACCAGAATGATATTCATTTCTTTTCTTTTCGTATAAATTAATATAATTATAAATTTATCATATTGTTAAAGGACACCAAATGTAAAAAGTGAAAAGAACTAACCCTCTATGGATATACTTTAAAGTAGTTGTGGGAATCGCGAGATTCGCATCGCACAGACACTGTACCTCTGCCTTTAGCTTTTTTTCGCTGTGTTGCTGCTGCAGCGTTCGCTCACGCGCTCGTGTTGCCCTTGTCGACGCGGAAACGCAGAGAGACCCTCCTCGCGTCCTCCACCATCTCGTCAGTCTCACTTGCTGTTGCTTTATAATCTCTTCGTTGCCCTGTTGGGTCTTTGCGAATTTCACAGTTTGAGTTTTGGACTTTGCTTGGCCAGATCTTACCGCGGTAGACTTCGAGGTTTTCGGTGGAGTTTGGTGGCGGTGGGTTTTTGTTTTTGTCGGTTGGATTCAAGGAAAAACGGTCAAGATGGTGAAGATTTGCTGCATTGGAGCTGGGTACGTCGGGGGTCCGACCATGGCCATGATTGCGTTGAAGTGTCCCGATATTGAGGTTGTAGTGGTGGACATTAGCAAGCCTAGGATTGCTGCCTGGAACAGCGATGATTTGCCGATTTATGAGCCGGGGTTGGACGAAGTGGTGAAAGAGTGCAAGGACAGGAACTTGTACTTTTCCACAGAGGTGGAAAAGCATGTTGCTGAGGCGGACATTGTGTTCGTGTCTGTGAACACACCTACCAAGACGAGGGGTTTGGGAGCCGGGAAGGCCGCGGATCTAACGTACTGGGAGAGCGCAGCGCGCATGATTGCGGATGTGTCGAAGAGTGACAAGATTGTGGTGGAGAAGTCGACCGTGCCTGTGAAAACTGCAGAGGCCATCGAGAAGATTTTGACCCACAACAACAACAAGGGCATTAGCTTCCAGATCTTGTCTAACCCTGAGTTTCTTGCCGAGGGGACTGCCATGGCGGACTTGGACAAGCCCGACCGTGTGCTAATTGGAGGGCGTGAGACTCCCGCAGGTCAGAAGGCTGTGGCGGCTCTCAAGGCCGTGTACGCGCACTGGGTCCCGGAGGATCGCATCATCACTACCAACTTGTGGTCTGCTGAGCTCTCTAAACTCGCCGCCAACGCCTTTCTAGCACAGAGGATTTCTTCTATCAACGCCATGTCGGCTTTGTGTGAGAGTACTGGTGCTGAGGTAAACGAGGTTGCCTACGCTGTGGGTAAAGACTCTCGCATTGGCCCGAAGTTCTTGAACGCTAGCGTTGGTTTCGGTGGGTCTTGTTTTCAGAAGGATATTCTCAATTTGGTGTACATCTGCGAGTGCAATGGCCTCCTCGAGGTGGCTCACTACTGGAAGCAGGTTATTTCCATCAACGATTACCAGAAGTCAAGATTCATCAAGCGCGTGGTGTCGTCTATGTTCAACACTGTCTCTGGCAAAAAGATTGCCGTCCTTGGATTTGCTTTCAAGAAGGATACTGGTGACACCCGAGAGACGCCTGCCATTGATGTCTGCCATGGCCTGCTTGGCGACAAGGCATTGCTCAGCATTTATGATCCCCAGGTGACGGAGGAGCAGATCAAGCGCGACTTGGCCATGAACAAGTTCGACTGGGACCACCCCCAGCACTTGCAACCTCAGAGTCCGACCGCCTTCAAGCAAGTTTCTGTCGTGTGGGACGCATACGAAGCATGCAAAGATGCTCACGGTATCTGTGTTATCACCGAGTGGGACGAGTTCAAGAAGCTCGACTATCAGAAGATCTACGACAACATGCAGAAGCCCGCCTTCCTCTTCGACGGAAGGAACGTGCTCAACGTCGAGGAAATGCGCAAAATTGGGTTTGTTGTCTACTCAATTGGAACGCCCTTGGATTCATGGGTCAAGGATCTACAAGTCTCCATTTAGATCTAACACTATAGTAGCTGGTTTATTTATTTTTATTTTTCCATTCTTTATTCTTGGCCAATTGTTCATCGGTCTGAGCACACAATGCACCTAGTCTGGCAGCTCTGCTGCGTGGTTTACACTTCCTGGCCGAGATACGCTGACAGACAATATATAGAGGTACTGCAAGATTGCGCCACCTTGATGCCCTTATGTAAGAGGTTGATTCAATTTTGATGTTCATACATGTCATGGCGCTAGTTTTTAAGGTTATAGAGCCTGGTGCACCTATTGCTGTGCCATCAGGTGGCCTGCAGTCAAGAGGCGATTTCTTCTTCTGATAGGTTATTATGAGGAGACCAGACAGTTTCTAAGCTAATGTAGGAAGCATTACAAAAGGTGCAATTTGCGGTGTTGGTGTATTAGCCGAATATATTTTTGTTTCATCGAAGATTGATGCTCGTTGGTTTCCTAACATTCCGACGTATTTTTGTTGATTGATAGTATGAACAGATCGCGGAAGAGTGTTTATCGCTCTGCAATGCTGTCTATTTTGTATTGCACTCACACAATTTGGGACCATTAGAAAATGTTGGCGCTGTGGTTTTCGAAAAGGGCTTTGAGACAGTAATACTTGTGCTGCATAAAATTGGGGTTTTGTACTAAATTAATGCATGGCGGTAGGCTGTTAATAGTCATTCATATGCACTTCTGTCTCGTTGTTTCTTTTTGTGAATCTGCGTGGTCATTTTAAAGGTAAAGTTTATATATTTTTCATACCCCTCAGAAACTTGCATATTCCTCTCGCTATACTGGAAATTAAAATTTACCAGTGATTACAGAATCTGTTTTGATTGGAAATGGTTCGCTAGCGCGCCTGGAATGCTTCAGACATCGAACAATAATGAACATACGAAGATGGAAAATACTTAGTCTAACGTAAAACTAAACTAATTGAAGTTTTATTGCATTGGTGCTGTAAAAATATTAAAAAATAAATAATGTAATTTAACATCAAATCTAGTTCATGTATGTCAAAAACAGATGCACAAATTTTATGAAAAGCATCTAACGAAATTCAGGACCACCCACAAATTTCATTTGTTGTGCAATTGAATGAAATAAAAGTCAAGCAAATAAATAAGAAGTCCTTAAGAATTTTATCCTATGTAAAATGAGTGATTTTACCAAGCCATAAAAAATAAATTCTAACTCTAAAACTTAAAAAATTAGATAAAATATACATCAAAAGAAAATATTTTCAAGAACCTAATAATTTTAAAACCAAAATTCAATGTGTGGTTTACTTTGAAAAATACTCTCAAATAAAAACTCAGGACTCAGTAGTTTGCATTGCAAATACCACTATTACAATAAAATATCTATAGCCATATTTAAGAGAACTGATAAAATAAACAAAACATATAAATCAAATGCCCACTTGGTTAATACAACAAGAAATCTTGGCACTACCATTTTCTTTTATTTATTTATTTTCTTTTACATCAATTTGAATTTGATTTGTTTTTGTAATTATTAACAATACTTAATAAATTGTTTGCAATAATCTCAATTTTTTTATTCCTAAAAATGAAATAATTTTGGTAAATCTCAATATTAAAAATAAGAAAAAATATTCAATAACAATAATTTTAAGAATTCAAATACACTCTATCAATCTTTAAATATCTAGTTACATTTTTGGATTAAAAAGTTGTAGTAATTGGAACCAATAAGTTTATATGTTTCCTTCAAAAACATCAATTTGTTTTGATCTATACAAAATTTAATCTAACTTAAAGATGCTAACTCCGTAGTAGAAAGAACAAAAGAAAAAAAGAAAAAAAAAAAGATAAAATATGATTTGAAAGAAATTATATTTAGTTATAAATATGAAATATAATTTTTTTTAGATTTTCAGCTTTTGGGATTTTGTAAAATACTTAAAATACTTAATATTACATTAAGTGGATGATAGTAGTAATAATTTACAGTTCTAAAAAAATCCATATATTATTTTTATGATTATAAATCAATAAGATAGATTTTTTTATTAAATAATTATTTATAAAATTAAAAAAGAATAATTCTATGTTTTATATTTACATTATTATAATATGAGTAAAATATAGTTTTTAAAAAATGATTCAAACTTTAAGTATTATTATTAATTATTTATATTACAAAATATTATGTATATGTTTAAAATTTCATAAAAAACCATCAATTTGAATCCTAACAAATTTTGACATTAATCCTATTGTACTATTTTAACAAAAAAATTTATTTATTCTTTTTATTAATTCTTATTTTTAAATAATTAACCAAAATTTAAATTATTTTGTGGTATTTCAAAGATTGATTAATCAGATAAAAAATATTACTTTATTTCATTCTTCTATATATCTCAAAAATTTATCTCACTAAACTTCATTAATCAAATTAGAATAATTTTTAAGTTACCAATAAACTTGATTGATGAATTTATTGAAAGGCTTTGTAGACTATAGGTTAAATTTATAAAATAGCAAAAATATATTATTTGGTAGATGGATTTTTTAAAATATAAATTTTATATTGAGGTTTTTATAAGAACTTTAAATGAAGAAAAAAACTTTATTTGAGGAATTAAATTTACTACAATCAAATGCCTTAAAATCTATATAGGAATCTTAAAAATATGCTAGAAACAAGAAATGGGTTGAAAATAGTGAAGAATGCCTCACTCTTTTTTCTATAAATATTCTATAATTAAAGAGCTATATAGGAATAATCTATACATCATTCAATTCATGTCTAAATTATTAAGAAAACTTCCAATATGTACACTATGTGGCCAACATGTGCAACATGAGGCTTATATGTTGGCCAAGTTTCAACTTACCAATCACCTACAAATACTTGTAAAATCAAATATATATCTATGAAACTTCTTACTATGATAAAAGTAGAAGTATATAAAAGTATATTAATATACTTATATTAATAAACAAAACATTATAGAGAATTGATAAAATAAACAAAACATATAAATCAAATTAATATACTTTTACATACTTCTACTTAATTTCTCTTATCTTCTTAATTATTAATGTTAGTATTAATAATTGAAACATTATAGCTACTTCAAACGCCAAATTCTATAAAGTACAATAATTACATATTGAAGAAGTTTAAGATATGGCAAATTGTATTTGCCACATATTCTAATCTTTATTTTCTTTACAAATAATTGACAAGTCTTTTCAACAATCAATAATATTATATACCAAGGCAGAAAGAAAACCATGAAATTTCATCATTATTAATACTTTCACAACTCTCTTCAATTAAAATATTAGAAACACCATTAAGAGTAGATAATACTTCTAAAAATATTACCAAATATTGAAAGCTTCTTCTAAGCTCGTGATATCATATGCATTGTATGTTACCATCTATTTGAATAATATATTATTCTTGAGGGTCTTTATTTCAATAATGTTGCCTTAAAGGTTGTGACAATCTCAATGGTTTGTTTTGTAACTCAATGAATAATAGCTCTTAAGTTGAATCTCTTAGTTGTTGATTTTATATCAAAAATACAACAACCAATAAATGCAACAAATATATATTTGGTGTTGCCATGAAATTGTAAAGATATTAAGGCATACTTTTGCAGCTCTCAAATTAACATTCAAAAAACTAATTGAAATACTTTATTCCAAAATCAATTGCTTGACTCAATGTTTGAGGATGAAGTAAGTTTAATATTAATTTATTTATCTCATATTATAACTCATGAAGAAGTTGGCTAATAAGTGAAATTTTATCCCATTTAATATCAATCACAACCTATCAATATTTTAAAGCGCATAAAAATAATAAACGTTTAATTTGAAGAAAAATCTATATCTTATTAGTTGCAATATATATTACATCATGTTTTTTATATTTAAAATAGGATTTTTTTAATATCAAATTTTATTATTCAAAAAAAATAGAACTTATTTTTAAAAAATATAAAAAAAATTATTTTAATAAATATAACTTGTGATTTGAGAATTTAATAAATTTGATGTTTAAGCTTAATTAATACTTTTACTTGATTGATAAATCTTTGAAAATTTGATTTGTACCATCAAACTTCTTAAATAAAAGAACTTTTGATTTTTTATCAATTGTGATGGTGCTTCAATAATATTCCACTCTAGAAGAAGTAAGATGATTTGGTATAGATGTTGAGATAGCTCCAAAAATTTCCACATCTTTAATTCTAACCAATCTTATTGTACTTTGTAGTAGTAAATTGTATTGATGCATTGCAAGCATTAATTCTCTCATTTGCTCTTGCATTTGTGCTATCATACCTATGATTTCAACAAGCTCTATCATAATAATATACATATATATATATATATATATATATATATATAATTTAACTCAAAAAAATAATAGAATATAAATTGAGTATTTAGTTTAGGGCCAATGTACATGTATTTTGATTATATCACTAGTATTGAGCTCTTTGGTATTACAGGGACAAAACTATACCTTTTATATTAGATAGTGTGTTGTATGGGCAATTTTAAGTCAATCTAATATGTGAATATTATAGATGAGGTGATTTTATATATAGATATGTGTTAGATTTAAGTGAATGAATCAGATCTAATCATTGATCTTAGCTTTAGAGATTTAAGACCAAAGACAATGTTAGAACCATGGACAATGTTAGGAACTATATTCTATTTTTTTGAGGATTGACAAGGAAGTGGTTGATACTATACTTTAAGGGAGCTTAAAATCCATCTTTTGTATAGAAAAGACTCAAGAATGAATTAAATATTATAAATAATATTAATTTAGGAGTAGCTAATCTAAAGCTTCAATTATACTTGTATCTTATGAAGAAAATGATGTCATCTATTTTTCATAAAGAAAAATAAAGCTTTAGTATTGTATGTGTATTTTTGATTAGTTTATAAAAATAAAAATAAAAAAAACTTGAAAAAGATTAATTTAAAAAATTAAAATATGTATCAAAAATCATATATATATATATATATATATATATATATATATATATTAAATTAATGTACTTTTACATACTTTTGTCTCATTCATCTTATTGTCCTAATTTTCCATATCAAATTGATGTCAAAAATATAAACTTCTTTCTACAAAACTATGCACCTTAGCTTCATCTTTGATTTCTTTTCAATGAACTTAAATTTGCTAGAATCATAGCTTCAAATATAATTTGATTTATTTTTTTAAAAAAATCATTTAAATGCATTAGTCATCTTGATCCTTTCTTCAAAGTTACATTTTCAATTGCCACTAAACTTAGCACTTTTAGAACATCTTAGTATCAAAGTTATTGATTTTTAATCCTCTAAAAACTAAACTTGAACAAATTTTTAATATAAAAATTCCTATAGCTCAAAACTTATCAATAATAAAGGAAAATTTTTCAAAATAGAGCTACCAAATTATGAAGGCCATACATCACCTATTACTAAATTGAATAGACTTTCATCTTTTAAACTTTAAAATATAAAATTTTTTAAGTTTAATAAATTATATATATAATAAGTTTTAAGAGCTCAAAATAAAATCTTAGAGATGAAATTGAAAAGAACTAAAGCCATTTATAAAATCCTAGAGAAAATATGGCATAGCTTTGTCCATAAAATATATATATATATATATATATATATATATATATATATATATCTTAACTACATAAGCCTACAAAACTACTTATACTATTTTCTTAAGACCTAGAAGTAGTGGCCATATCTTTACTCTTGCACTCCAAAGAGTCTAAACTAAGATCTATAGTCCTAATTGCTTCAAGAATTAAAACTTGAAAGTAAGACTAATAACAATTGAATGAACCATAGAAATGTTTTTTTGGCCAAAGTAACTTCAACATTGTATTGAAAACATATTCTCGAATATATATTGGCTACTCCTATACCTTAGTTTATACAAATTATAATACTTATGTAGATTGGAAATATAACAATTTAAATTCAAATTAAATTACTTCTAAATCACTTCTAACTTATTTCTAACTTACTTCTAACTTACATATAACCTCATTGCTATGATAATTAATTTAAATAATATTTTCAATCCAAAAAAGGTGATTAAAAAAATAATTATAATAATAATTATTATAAAAACTATCCAATAAACTATTAATTATGCTTAAAAATTGATTCAAATTATCTTTTAAAAGTGACTTTTCATTGTAAAGAACCTTTAGAATCTAAAACAAGATTTAATATTTTATGTATTCATTCCAAATACCTTCGATTTTCTTTTTAAGAACCTTTCCAATATTATGTTGTTTAATTATTGATCGTTGTTTTATCATTGATCGTCCTATATCACACAAACATATTAAAAGATAAAATAATATTTTATACAAAGATAATAATTTCACTTGTGTATGTGTGTACGTGTGCATATGTTTGTTTTTTTTACAAAACTATATAGTTAAATAATATAATGTTATTCTAAAAAACTAGATATAGCATGCTTCTTAAGACTTTCAAATTCAAATTGATTATATCTATTATGATGTTCTTTTAATTTGTAAAAATCAATTTCTGATTTTTTAAAGAAAATTTAATCATATTTTTTTATCACAAGCCAATATATATATATCTTATTAGTTAGTACTAAGGTGTTTTGAACAAAAATATAAACAAGATTTAATTCTACTAAACGGAACCAATGTTATGTTTTAATTGATTTTTCTTTTGTATCATTATTACAGGTTTTAAAAAGAACTCAAATCTCATATTTACATATATATATTTTTCTTATATGAAAATACATATATATATATATATATATATATATATATATAGATATATATATATATATTCCTTAGAATAGTTGTTACATTTAAATAAGCTTATAATTATATATTTTTTAAATATTTTGCTACTAACAAATATTATATTCTTTATCTAGTGAATTGTGACTCATTAACTTGCATAATCAAAATTAAATCTTTTTATCAATCTAAATTATTTTATTCAAAAAAATTGATTAAATATAATTATTTCACTGAGTTTTATTGATTCAAACTTAAGAATTGGATGTATAAACATTGTTATCAAATGAGAGAACTTAAATAGTTTCTTATACTATATTTTTTGACTATTCATATAAATTGAAGCAAATAAGAATAAGTAGTAACAGGTGGAAGTATTTTAGGTAGATAATACCTTCTTCAAGAAATATTCAAGAAGTTTCTTTGACACAAACTACATGTATAGATTCTTTTAGATAAGCTAAATGACAATAAAAGAAAATTCTACAAAGTTCTTTATCTTTATAAAGGTATTCGCAAATTGAAACATTTGGTCCACAAGCTTTAAGGTACCTACAAAACTTCTACATATTCTTCTTGTTAAGTAGCATGTATAGATATAAGATTGAGGCTATTTTTAATCTTATCAATTTTTTTTTGTAATTAAGTCTTAGTTTAAGATTCTTTGGTTTTATTTATTTATTTATTTATTATTATTATTATTATTATTATTATTATTATTATTATTTTATAAATATAATTATTTTTTTAGATTTTACTGAAATAACTCATCAATCATTTAAAATTTTTTTTGTATTCCTTTAATTTTTTCAAGTTAAATAATAATTTTTAAAATTTTATATTATTCTTCTAAAATTTTTTAATATAGTTTTGAGATTTTATTATGTTGTGATATATTAAGTTCAAATCATTAGCAATATTAGTATATTATTTTTTTAAAATTATTGTAATTACTTAATTAATCAATTTTTTAAATTTTTTTTTAATAATTTGTAGATACATTCTTTTAATTTTTAATAGATGTAGACATATCTACAAATTATTAAAAAAAATTGTTGACATCTCTTAAAAATTACAACTATATTAACATTGTTTTTGATAAAATATTATTTATATATATATATATATATATATATATATATATATATATATATATTTATATACAAAAACATCTCCAATTATTAGTTTTATCTTTAAAACTTTTTGAATTATTCATTAGCATTTTTTTTAGAAAAAAAACTTATATTTATTATTATCTAAATGCTTTATCAATCCTAATAGACCATAACATTAAAATAAAAATAAAAGTTTTAATTTTCATTCTTTAAAAAGTAAAAAATAAATCTTGTTACTTTAGGCATGCACAATTTTTGTTTATAAAGTTTAATACTAATTAGTTGTTTTAAAATTAGTTACATTTATTCTATTAATAATGCTTTGTTAGATCACAACATAATAATAATGATAATAATAGTAGTAATATTATTTTGCTACAAATACCTCTCTTAGTTCTTTGATTGCTTTAATTTTCATTCTTATTCTTCAATTGATATAAATGTATAATTTTTTATAAACTCTGGACATATCTAATATTTGAATTGCCACATAAAATTAAAATTTTATCTTTTAATATAATCATTGATATGCAAAGACTTTAATATTGTAGCTTGAATTGGTAATTGAAATACTTGATAACTAAAAAAAAAAAAAAAAAAAAAAAAAACTTTTATTAATGTTAATAAGTAAAATTATATAAACATTACCTTGAGAATATTATTTGGCTAATATTTCTGCATTTAATAAAACAAAAAAAAAAATGAAACCTTAATTATCAAGAATCATTCTTTTGTGAATGTCTTGAGAAAATATGTCATATACCACTAGTAATGACAAATTTATAACCGCAAGATGACAATTTGAGATACAAATCAGAAAAAAATTGGAGAGAAATGTGATGCAGCGTCTTGCGGATGCTACTCGCGAGACAAAACCCTAGCGGGGGGACGCCCACAACGGCCGACGCGAGGGAGCGGCTACTGACGGAGGTGACCCTTTGGGTTTTGCACTCAAAGTGACCTCGACCTTCACCGGTTGTTTCCTTTTCGCTCGCGTGCCTTACGTTTGTAGGCAGCGGCTCCGGTGTATCATTTCACCCTTTCTGAAAGGTTTATCACCTCCGTTTATCACCTCCGCAGCCATGTCCTTCACCGCGCGCAGGAAGATCCAAAAGGAGAATGGGCAGGAGCCAGATGAGTTTGAGGAATCTGTAGCTCAGGCTCTCTTCGACCTGGAGTCCACCAACTCCGAGCTTAAGAGCGAGCTTCGCGACCTCTTCATTAACTCTGCCAAGGAAGTTGATGTTTCCGGAAACCGGAAGGCCGTTATCATTCATGTGCCTTTCCGCTTGCGGAAGGCTTTCCAAAAGATCCACGCTCGCCTCGTCAGGGAGCTGGAGAAGAAGTTCAGTGGCAAGGTTAATGTCCGCATAAAAACCGTTTTCTTTGTGTAATTCCACATTTTAAAACCTCTTCGGTCGATTGTCTTGTTGTTTTTGGGTAATGGTGTACAAAGTTTCGGTGAGGTGTTCAATGAATTAGGGTTTTATCCGATTAGGGTTTCTGCCGCCACATCTATATTGGGCTCATAGGAATGTGTAGTTGGGTGGAAGTCAATGCAGTTCACATACCTGCGGTGTTGCTTAGATCCAACGATGTCATGCATTTCTCTAATCTTTTGTTCCGGAGCGAGTTATTAAAACACTTCATGTAGGCTGTAGTTTGTAATCCGTGTTTGTTATGTTTGATGCAAACCGTGTAGAATAGTTGTGTTTTGTCATTTGACTCATACTTTGGCGTTGGTGTCTTCTGTTGTTTGTGTAGGACGTTGTTTTCATTGTCACCAGACGCATCTTGAGACCCCCCAAGAAGGGTTCCGCTGTTAACAGGCCAAGGAGCAGGACTTTGACCGCTGTGCACGAGGCAGTCCTTGAAGATTTGGTTTACCCATCTGAAATTGTTGGGAAGAGGATGCGTTATCGCCTGGATGGTTCCCGCATCATGCGTGTATACTTGGACCCGAAGGAGCGTAACAGCACGGAGTACAAGTTGGAAACCTACTCGGGGGTTTACAAGAAGTTGACAGGAAAGGAGGTCACTTTTGAGTACCCTATCCAGGAGGCTGTAGCCGCGTGAATGTTTTCGGGGAGCACCAGCTAGACTTAAAACGCCCGCAACAGGGGTCTATGTTCTTGCCACTACAGACTGTGATGTTCATTAACGTGCGGTTCAAAGAATCTTCGTGCTTAGATGCCTGTAGGTTTTTTTTGGTGCAAAACATCCGCAGTTGTTCTGCCTGGAAACGATTGATTTGAGTCTATCTGCATATTCGAGGGTTACGTTTCCTATGTTCGTTGGCCTTGAGTGTTGTAATTTGTGATATGTTTTATCACTTGATTTACACTATTCTGCAGATGAAATTGATTCTCTCAACATAATCACCACCCGAAATACGAAAAAAAACAGATTCCCATGTGAAACCATTACTCAATGTAATCATGAAATTTGTTAATCATTTGGCACGCCATGAAAAAACATAGCTTAAGTGAACCCTGTTACTTTTAAATATGAGCAACAAAAGGATGATGATGGTAGTCATAGAGATGTGTGACAGGGAAGGGTTCGCAAGATGCAAAACAGCAGACTTTCTATGTGCTCTGTACACACTGCAGGGAAGAGGTAGTGGGAAGTTGAGTGAGCGCGGTATCCTTTTGAATCAAGGATGGATATGTTACGTAGACCTTTTCTGAACCAGGAGTGGCAAGGGTGGCATGGAAAGGTATTGAAGTTCCAATGGTAATGGTTTTTTGAGTTTTGAGATCAAGGCCAAAGTTTTGCAAAGTCTTTGTCTCCCAAAATCTTGGGAGAGAGAAAAAAACAAACATCATCTTGTAAATTATACATCTACTACGAACCTACTTTTAAATGGTTTAAAAAAATAATTCAAGTTCACTTTCAACGAATTTCAATTTGTTTAAATTATTTTCACTCTAAATCACTATAATTTGTAATGAACAAGGGCTCTTTATTTTAATCAACTCACTGCTATATTTTAATCTACATATTGCTACACTAAATTTGAGATTAATGAAATTCTACTCTATCTTTACAAGGCAAGGCTTACTCAACAAGATACTTAAAAGTTTTTGGAAGCTAATCAACTTAGCTCACATAACATGATTGATTGCAAAAGGTATTGGAGCTTTGTTGCCTATTCCAATGTCTTTGGATTTTATTTTGGTTTTTTTGCAACACCAACACAATAATTATATAAAATAGAAACTTTTCTATCATGCAAAAAACAAACACATGCACTTTATATTCACAAATCACCTTCTAAAATCAAAACAAGAATATCTCTCATAAAAAACAAAAAAACATTAGATAGACTAAGGAGAGAACTCTCTCTCTAGATCAATATAATAGCAACAATAGAATTTTGAAGTTTGTTGCTACCTTTCAAAATTTATAATATACATATCTAAATAGGTATTTTCTTTTATACTATAACTTTATAGATTAGTCTATCTTAACCTTTTCTTCACCTCCACAATCTACTAACAATCACTTCTTTTTAACTAAATTGGATCACATACAAAATACAAATAATATTTTTCATTTTTCTTTTAAATAACAAAATCTACTTGAAGAAGATAGATTTTTTTATTTAAAATAAAAATCTATTTATTATCATTTTTTTGAAGTTTTATATAATAAAATATTAGATTTTAAATAAAAATCTATTTAAAGTTTTACTATACAAAACTTAAAGTACTTATTTAAATAGAAACATAAAATAAAATAAAATAACGGTGAGTTTCAGCTAGGTCAATTGCTATCACCTCCCCTATGGTAGGTTTCAGCTGGGTCAATTGCTAAAACCTGCCAACCATCCATTCTGCAACTTGCAGCGCTTCATCTAACGCCACCACACGTGGCGCACACCACGCTCTCGAACCCTTCAATTGCCAGGACTCTCACTTCCTCGTCATGTGCCGCATTTGGTCTCGTGCTATGCGGCACTCACAGGAGTCTGCCTCGCTGTAGATTCCACCAAATGATGCTGCGTGAGTATCGAATTCGGTCGCTAACTCCTCTATCGCGCGATTTCCTTCAAACCGTCTACCTCCGTACAAGAATACTGTGAGCATTGCAGCAGCTGCATAAAGAGGTAGTTAGAGTGAAAACAGTTGGAAGAGATCTGAGCTAAAAGAAAGCCGAACAGTTGGGTCAGGAGTGCATACATAAGTCTAGCAAATGAGTTAAGCGTGTTTGAGACGGAATCGAGACATTGGGTGTTTTTTTAGGTGAGTGTGGTGTTGTGTGCATTATTTGGAGAGTGAGATGTGTGATTTGAACAGTGGGCGAGCGGTTGTGCGAGGTGATCAAACCAGGGGTTCTGTGCTGGGTGCTGAAGTATGAGAAATTAGTAGTACGAAGAGCTAGCGGGAAGTTGAAAGTGCAATTAGATATTTGGGCATAGAAAGACAACGAACACTGGTGTGTAGGCCGTTGTTTTTGACTCCCCGATTTAGCATAATGTGATGGGTGGCGACATGGATTTGTCACTCTAAAGTCGATGTTCAGGTCACTCTGCTAACTTGAGTTGGGGCGCCAACGGTGACACATAAGACAAACAGTGGGACCCTTCTGTGTCGCAAATGACCTATCTGTGAAGTGTTCGAAAGCAAGCTGCGACGTGGATCTCTATCCCATTGTGACGTGTACGGTCGATGTTGTGTATGATTGTCGTGGTAAATTCATCACGGAGGTATCTGAAAGATGTCAGTTTAAGTTGCCGTCAAATCTTGCATTGAATTCCATCTATTTCATGCTTTTGTGTAAAGACATCAAACTCCAAATATGACAATAAGATTGGCAAATATAATTGCTTTATGTAATGTGAAAGATAAGAAGATCACTTACTAGACTATTTGATTATGTATCATCATCTACCACCCTCCTATGATTTCTCACCATTTATACTTCACTATTTTTCTGTAACATCATTGGCACTCTTATTACCCATATCATGACATGCTATGTTACTAAATTTGCTCCTGTAATTACCTTCAAATAACAATGTCCATGGCAATCAAGTAATTCATAAGAAATTTTATTCATACTATACATAAATTAGTTTCTCATCACAATGACCAAAATCAATGCCACAAGCCAATTTTACATGAAATAGGTCACAAATTCTTTGTAGGAATTAAGTCACGCCTTAGTCTAAAGGCCGACATCTAAATTATCACACTATAACTTTGATATCTCTAGTTCATGTGATAAGAACATGATTGGAGACTCTCACCGCAATGAGCACTGTACTTGCATTATTTGAAAGCAATAAATACCAATATGCATCATCAAAATGCAATAGGCACAAGACATATATAATTTGAATATAGTAAAAATAACCAATTTGGTGGCATTTTCTCATCTCTTGTATCTCTTCCTACACAATCAAGGTACCAGTTATTACAAAATACTTTGCTAAGGTGTATTTATTAGTTTTAGCCAAGGCATTTATAAAACCATTTTTTTAGTATTGAAAACCAAACAACATTTTCATAACCATACATGATATAAAACTTGACTCTACGCCATTAATTACTTATCATTTTATCTGATTAATCTTCACAAATTAGAAAAAAGATGTAAACCACACTATTGTTGAGTCTTTTGCAAGCTCTCTATTGCCTACATTGGCCATTCTTTCTACATCTTTCCGTTGACAATCCTCGTACATAAGCTTTATGTTGCTGTATTAGAGATATATGTAGTTGATGGTTACTTATTGCATGCTGTACTTCCATAATACCTCATATATATTAAAAACAATTGATTTCTTATTGAATAGCCAATGTAGTCCGCTTTGGCCTATGGCAATAATCTTATTGGGATAGTCTGGATGTAGCATTCAAACAGCCAATATGGGCTTCAATGGTTCTTATTAAGTATTTCAAAGAAAATCTATTTAGTCAATATTTTGCTATACGTCTATTTTTATGATATATAAATCTGGATTTTAAGGTAGCCTATTCTATTCCATTAAAAGACATGACTAAATTATTTGAAGCATTCCAAATTTGTCTTTGATTTTATTTAGTTTGTAACTTATCTTCTATAGATTTTAGATCTATTAAAAGAATTCTATCAACATGTTTAGATGGTTTCTTTGTCATTTGGCACTTTTTGCCTTAAGAAGTGCATATTTCTTCTACAATTTCTTGCCTAATGGTAGAAAATGTCACTATTGTGTCTTTAAGAGATTTTTTGCTTCCATCCCTTGTTTGTTTTTGTTTTTGTTTTGTTTATTTTATTTTATTTTATTTTTATTTTTATTTTTATTTGTTTTATTTATTTTTATTTATTTTTATTTATTTTTATTTGTTATTATTATTTTTTTTTATTTTTTTTCTTTTTGTTTTGTTTTGTTTTTTTTGCAGTATCTAACATTCTATTGAGTACAATTGATTCAATATACAAAGCTGCAAAAAAAGTGCTTGCATTATTTCTTTTTATGTAAGAAGAGAATCTAAAATTTTGTTAATCAATCACATTCATGTATCCTATGCTATATTATTATATAAAATTGGTAATAAGAGATTTGCATTGCATATATGATTTTATTGGCCTTTTTTTGCTCTTAAAAAGCTTGTTAGTGAAGTCTCCAATTGCCACTTGCATTGTACTATAGAATTATTTTCTCAAGTATCCATTCTATTCTAATACATTTCTTGTTTCTTTAATGGATCCTAATGATCAAATGACAAAATCATGTAGGTTGTTAAAGCCGCTAGCTCCTTTAATTTGTTTGTTGCTAGACATTTTTCAAATAGTACTTATTCTTTCTACATTTACATCTTCTATTATATTTCCATATACAAACATCATTGTTAGAGTCTACTCCATCATATAAAATGTAAACTTGTAAATTATATGCCCAATGCAATCTATGGTTTTATTGTAATGTCATGACTACAAAAGTTCAGATTTTTATGCGTACTTGATGTTGGAATATTGTTATTACATCTTAGAATTGTATCTCCATTTAAACTGATTGCAAATTGTGTTACAATAATATGTGCAACATTTTCAAAAAAAACTATGTCCATTTGAAGTATGAAATTTAGGTTTTGGTGGATTGGAGACATTTTTGCTGCATTATTTTTTTTTCAATTTTCTTATCTACTTCAATTTGTCAATCTATTATGATCTCTAACGAGGATTTCACTACTTGCAGTTCTTAGCAGATATCATAGTTGGTAGCAATTTTGTACTTTGCTGACCTACAGTGGATCACCTCATGTGATAGTGTGGCAAAATCAAACATCACCATAAT